TTCCATGTCCCCCAAAACATGAATGACCACTGAAAGAAATCTTCATTATCATAGCAACTGCCATATATTGAGTGCTGATTATATGCCAGGAGAATAGGGATAAGAAGATCACCAGCATCAAAGGGCTATTGGGAGGATGAACTAAGGGGACATGCTGTATTTGTAAAGCACTTAGAATGGTGCTTAGCACAAGGCAAACACTGTAAGCTTTGGTTGTATTTTATCACTTTAATTATTATTATCCATTATTATCATTTTCATTGCCTCATTAGTCTTCATGAAAACTTTATGAGGTATGTATTATTATCAACCCCACTTCATAGAAAAGGAAATATGAGGCTTCAAAGAATTAAGTAATTAGCTCAAGGCTGCAGAATAGCAGAAAAGGAATTGGAAACCTGGCCTGACTGGTCCCCAAGTTCAGGCTGGCCCTCAGTCTAGATACACTGAGGGAAGAAGGCAGGAGGACTCCTTGAAGAGCCCAGGAGGAAGCAGGGGCTCAGTGCTGGGAGGCTTAGTTGACCCCAGGCCCAAGATCAGCTAAAGGGGAAAGCAGGCCTGGGGCCTTTTTTGCTGAAAAGGCAAGCAAGCCTCCCTAACTTTGCACTTCTCCTCATCAACAACAGAGAGACAAGCTGCTTAAAATAATTATGACGAAAAAAGAAAACCACCCCCTGCCACTGGTTATTCCCAGGCTCCAAAGTGAGCCAATGCCCCCAATGTCTTGAGTATAGTGAGTTCAAATTGGGAAGCAGGTCCGCCCCAGCACCCGCTGGCTAACCTCCAAGCAATGTTTTTCCTTCCACACTAACACATAACTCTGCTGAACACACCACTTGAAAGCCAAAGAGATGCCCCTTGGTTGCCATGGCAATGTTAAATAGACAAAACATTTTAACCAGCTCTGACGCACACACACAAACCTACTTAAGGGCCAAGGGGATGAATTTGGTGGGGGAGAGGGAATGGGGTGGGAGTGTTGTTTCTAAAGCTCCATCTCCAAGAATTTGGCCCCAAAAGCATCTGGGTCAGACTGAAACAGGGCAAAGGGCTCCTTAAAAACAAGCCAAGGCTGAGCTTGCTCCAGGAAAGGGAAGCCACTGCTGTGCCTCTCTGCCTTTGGGTTACAGTCCTGGTGCCATTTTATGAAGGCCAAGAGGAGGGCGGCACTGAGGATTACAAATGCCGATAGAAAAGCATCAGGCGTGCATCCCGGAAACAGCATCTCAGTTTCTCACCCAAAAGGTGTGAGTGCTACGCCAGCCCACAGCAGTCAGGAGGACTGAATGTGTCATGGGCTCATAAGCCTTAAAGAACTGTGTAGATGCACATTAGTGCTGCTATAAAAATATTAACAGCTGCTTCCAACTGGGTTGTATTTCCGTTTCCCAGATTTCATGGCTGAACTTCTGTCCACAGGAATTAATGACCTTGAATTTTTTGCTTTAGAAAACTCTGTTCTGAGGTTTCTCCCCCAGATGTAGGAATCTGTGTGATAAAGCATACAGAAGGTTTATCCCAGGTCTGAAAAGACCTCTGTGCCTATGAGTCTGTTGTACTCTGGGCTCTTCCATGCCCCTCCTTTCACCCTAGGCACAGCAGGATGAGGAGTTGATGTTACCGAGGGGCTAGAAGAGCCTCACCAGACACAGTTCGTGGCAATTTGGTACCATCAATGAATGATTGTTTGTAAAACCTTCCTCTGCGGGATCCATGATATCCTCAGGTAAACCCGTTCTCCAGAAATGGGTTCCATGCCTGGCTGTCTCCGCTTGGAATCCTCTTCCACCCGTCGTCTCTTGTGGTGAACTCTCTGGCCTTTCAAGACTAACCCTTTAGAAGTTATTTTGGAACCTTCCTTGTCCTGGGGGTAGAATAGGTCCCCACTGGGCCATGCACAGATGTCTGTGGGAGCAGCGGCAGTAGTCTATTGTTCTAATTGTTCTCTGGTCTCTTGCCCACTCATCTGAGTTCTTTGAGGGCAGGGATCACATCTTGGTCACCTGTGTATTCAGCTTGGCCTAGCCCAGCACCTGGCATCAGCAGGCACTCTGTGACTGCTTGCAGATTGACAGTCTAAAAGTACACAATGCCAAGCCCATTATGATTATGCACTGCTGCCCCTGGAATCCTCTAAGCCATATTCCACAAATGTCTGCTTTCACTTCCCTATCCTCCAGGAAGACCGCAGGAGTTAAAGAGCAGAGAATAGAGCAGCTGGACAGCCTAGTGGGTTAGGAAGAGTGAAGGGAGGGAGAAAAAGGTGCCCTTTTCCAGGGCTTGCTCCTCCTACAAAGCTCATGCTCCTAACCTACCCTTTAGCTGAGGATACGAACTGACCCACTGAAAACTGAAATAGCACCCATTCCATTCCTGCTCTGAAATAAAACTGCTTTTGTCTCCATTATTAAAGGACCCTAAAGGTGCTCTATCTGTTTTCTTAGGGAGTGACCACATTAACTCTATGCTGATTTTCTTTTTTTCTGGCAGAGCCCGTTACCCTCCTAACATGATACACTTCCCAAGTTCTCATCTCATTGTGTGTCATCTTCCTTCTGCCATGCTTTCTACATATCTCCTCCTTTGGTATCCTCCAAACAGGCAATATTTAGCAAACAACCAATGTTTATTATTGGCCACCCATATGAGGTCTGATTAGAAGGTTAACCACCTAGGAATCTAGAAATGGTGGCTCACACCCTACACCATATTCTCAAATTATACTTGAGCAAAATATGCTTGTGTGCACACAGGTGTCCTATTAGCCAGAAAATCACCCATGCCTGTCTATCGAAAGAACTTCCTGTGTGATCTAGTGAGTTCTGCCTTATGAACTTGTCATTGTTTTGTGATGTAGGGGCAAGAACAATGATCCTATTGTTCTTACCATCATCCTACTTATTTCCTACAGAATAGAATAACTGTGGCAGAGGTTCTTACATTTTCCTGGACTCACATCCTGTACGCTGAACTATTCTCTGCTAGGCTTACCACAAGACTGTGTCTGCCTCCCCACCCCTAAGCTGGAACTAATTATCACGGACAATTATAGGAGTTTATATTCTTGTGCTCAAAAAAAAAACAAAACACACACACAGTTCACACACACAAAAACAAAAACAAAACAATATAGTACTGGCATGGCTGAAAGAGTTATGGAGAAACTGCAACACTGCATTGGTGGTATGGTAGTATTTATAAGTAACTTATTTGCATATAAATTTGCAAAGAAGAATCTGAAGTGACAATATTACAGGTTGAGCATCTCAAATCTAAAAATCTAAAATCTGAAATACTCCAAAATCCGAAACTTTTTGAGCATAACATGAGGCTCAAGGAAAGTGCTCAGTGAAACACTTTGGATTTTCGGATTTGGGATGCTGTAAATATAATGCAAATATTCCAAAATCCAAAACATTTCTGGTCCCAAATATTTCAGATTAGGGCTACTCAATCTGTATAAGCTTGGAAGTAGACTCTAACAACAAGCAAAACCTCCAACAGAAGGTGCTTACAATACAGGTGCACCAAATAGAATAAAAGGTTGACGATTTCCACACACCAGTTCTACATGCACATTATAATGGGCTGGGGCAATTGCATCAGTACCTATCCTGGAGGGAAATAATGCATCTGTTTCATATGAAGATAGGACTACATGTGTAGCATGCCTGCACTAAAATTAAGTCTTCTATCATCCAAATTTTCTCAATTATTAATACCCTAGACAGCTGCAGTAGCTGCAGCAAAAATAGCAGCCCAGTTTTTCCAAAAGTCAAAGCAGCCATGAGATGTCAGCCTGGGGACTTTCCTATGTAAGGAGTGGTTGGTCTTTGGATCAAAAAGAAAGAAAACCTTCAGTGGAACAACAACAACAAAAACTTTTTCAGAATATAAACTGGAAAATGACTCCCCTTCCATACCTACACTGACATCTTTATAAAAAAATATGTTTTTGTGCACGAAAAACAAAGCCAGCTGAAAAGGCTGCCTATTTGCCCAAGTCACTGGGATAACAATCCAGAAAACTAAACAGTAAACCTAAGGAATGCCAATCATTTTGGTTTATTCTGATATGAGACCTAGCAAACTGTGCGTACTCAAAGGAGGTAGGATGGGGGTTAGAGAAGCAAATTATGCCTTTTTTTTTTTTTTTTTTTTTTAAGGTTTCTGGAAGCAAATGAATGTCCAGCAAAAAATAGTTGTCCTTAAGTTGCCACCTTCATGTTTTAAATAGGTTATTAGTGTTATCTTAAGAGACACTGAAAACATATATATTTTTTGTAAATATTCATGCTTGAAATGTGTTTTGAAGTGAAAAACTAAGCTGATGTTTTCTGAACTCAACAATGACCATAAATTTTAATTCAAAGATTATGTGCAGGACATGCAATAAGAAAAAGAACAGATTTTTAAAAGATTAGTTTTGGGGGTTATGTATAAAGCTATAATATCAGAGCTTAAACGCATCATGCCAGAGAGAATATCACTTGCAAAGGTTATGTTGAAAAGCTTCAGATGTGACTGCACATTTCACATTTCCTGTCACAGTTCTGATTTCACATCATTCTAACCTTTAAAGGCAATCTGACCACATGCTCCAGTTTCTGGTTAGTAAGATACCATCACCTCATCCATGCCTCAGCTCCACACACAAACACATATTGATGTGGGTCTTTGAGGAAGCAGAACGAGTCATAACATTTCAAGTACTAAACATGTATATGTTTGTACCAGTTCTGCATAATTTGTGTCTAAGAGCAAGGACAATATTTCACTTTAACTGTCTCACAATCTACATAAAAATCACAGCCATTTTTCAATAAATGCCAACAAATGTCAGAAAAGCAGAACACGGCTACTTGGAAATAGCTGTGAGTTTATTAATATAATCCCCTGGAGTAAAGCATCTGGCATGAATGTTTTCAAGATGGCCAATATCATTTAGAGGCAGGGCTTACTGACAGAACTCAAACATTTGCTACCTATGCACCACTTACCATTTGGGATCTGTTCTTCGGACAGCCATTGATGTCTTCAATCTTTTCATTTGCTGAAAAAGGAAACACAAGTCAGAAAAATAAATCACCAGAGAGACACTTTCAGTAGTGATGTTCAGGACACTTGAGGCAACCAAGTCCTAAGGCCCATACCAGGGTTTGTCCAATCAGTGCAGGCATGTGAAATACTGAGACACATCTAGCAAGCTTCAGGACTTACTCATCGAGCTGCCGTCCTCCAGGGACAGCTGGGGCAAGGTCGTCATCTAAAACAGAGACAACTGCATCGATGACAGTCTTGGAGTGATGGGGCATCGTGGAAATGCTTGGAGACTGGGAAAGAGAGTGAGCTGTGATTGTACTTTAGGCTCTTGGAAAGGCAAACACAACTGTCACAAAAGACAGAATAGTTTAGAGTGGATCAGTCCAGCTACAACTCAGCTCCCAGGGACAAAAGCCACAAATGAAAGCATCTCACTCTATCTTTGGCCAGACTAATATTGCTTTTGTTTGTCCTAATAACTATTCCCAAAGCAGTGGCAAATGGGGAAAATGAGAAAGTGAGACTTTATCACTTTCTCACTATGTGACTTTACCAATGCCACATAGTAAGTCCAAATTAGATCAAGGGACACACATGTGTGAAGTCATATCACCCAGCTACTTAGAGAAGTGATAAAAAGAGGCTGCATGGCATTCACAGGAAATCAAGTACTAATACAAAGGAGGATTGGCCCAGCTTCCCAGGGTGAATGCAGTTCATCAAAAGTATGGAGGAGTCCCTGGCACGACACAGTCCAAGGTATCTATGGAGAGACTGTGTTTGAGAATACAGCAGCACAAGAAAGGCAGTAAGCATAGTGGTTAGAGCACTGGCTTTGGAGGCAAAGATATGTTAGCGTGAATTCCAGCTGCAGAGTTTTTTAGCGTGTGACATCAGGCACGTCACTCAACCTCTTTGGGTCACAGCAGGTAGTATTAACTGTCTGCTTCACCAGAGAAGCAACAAGAATTAGATGACGTCAGTAAAATGCTCAGCATGGTGCCCAACATGTAGTAAGTATTTTCTAAATGGTAGAATCATTAACCCAGTAATATGTATTATACATAAAAATTTTCTTTTTGATATCTCCAAGTTTGGAAACTTAGCTAGGACTCCATAGTAAAGAACTAAGGGTTAGCCTCCTCTTGAAACCTTTATAAGCTCCCTCTGAATTCCCATGTCCTCACCCACAGAAGGGTAAGACATACTCAGGCCTCTGTTCTCACAGCACCCTGTACCTGCCTCTGTTTTGTTCTTAATCATCCAGTACATAACTCCTCCTTTTCTTGTTTCCCCCAAGTATGCTGTGAGACCCTGGCAGACATATATAGTTTATGTTTCACATCTGTATCCTTAGAGCTTAATAACTGCTCACAAAATTGAATTCCCCAAATAAAATCATGTCATATTTTAATAAATATGATACCTAAAACTTCCATGAAGAGAAAAGCCATTGGAAACTGTCTAAAAAAGATAATAGAATAACAGTGTCCCAAGCCTCCAAGATTTTAGAAATCTGAACCATTATCTCAAATTGAATTTATTTTTTCTCTACTGTTTCTATCTTGAGAGAAAAGTGAAAATTAAGAAGCGAGTGGCAGAAAATGGTTTAAAAATCTGATCACCATAAGACAGACTGGCTAGTGTATATTCAGTCTAATCTACACCTTTTTTTAGAACTTGCCAGAAGTAATAGATGTTAAGGTTTATGACCCACCTGGGAAAATTCCAATCTTCAGAGATCTAATTGCATTTTCTCAACTCCTCTTAATATAAGAACACTAGGATAGGCATTGTAGAAAGCCTTGCTCCCAAAAGAGGTGCCATGAATACCACAAACAAGGCGACCACTGAATGGAATCACTAATGGGTGTTTGTTCTTCTGTTTATTAGAAAATATAATGAGACAGAATATATCACTAGCACGTAAACTTCATAAGAACAGAGATTCTTATGTGCTTTGTTTCCTACCATCACCTCAGAGCTTAGCACAGTGTCTGGTACACAGGAGTCACACAATAAATACTTGTTGAGTGGAACTAGGAAATAAGTCTTCAAATATCTCAATGAATCAAGAAATCTTGATTCTTGAGCATTGAGATGAATCAACCTGAAAATAGGCAGCTATCCTTCCACTTGTAATACAGATGTACATACTAAAGACCAAAAAAACCAAACGCTTGACAAATGGCACTCTTTCATACATGGGAAATTATGGCAGGCATGAGCTCTGACCTTGGATTTTGACACTCAACATTGGAGAGAATAAATAATGCGGTTTTTGAGATTCAAGGCCAATCAAGGTGTCTTCCAACTGGATACTCGTGATGGCCAAAGTCATAAGTCATTGGATTCTGATCAATACCTAGTTCAGCATTAGGTCATTAGTGCTCATTGCAGTAAAGGATGGATAACTGTGATCCTAAGAAGTCATTTGGGACATTTTAAAGATTCTTTATATGCCACCTGAATAATGAAACCAAAGGGCTTGGTCTAATTTCTCATCTAATTCCTTTTCATGGTCTGTCACCTAAACCCAGTCAGGTGCTCTTTGAATTTAAATATCATGGCTCTTACAAGCATAATACTTCCATTTTACAAAAGTCAAAATAAACTAATGGGGTAGAGCCTAATTACCACCACTCTAAAGAGTATATGGGAAGAGATGAATCAAATGACTAATCCAATCTCAAAATAAATAATTAATAAAACTACAAAATTAGTTTTGGGCCTCCTAGTTTCCAGTTTCATATACTTGAAATACTTCTTCTTTACTTAAATTCCCAGGAATTCCTATGGTTGTCATAAATAATTAGAGTGCTAATAGCAGCTCTGATTCTGCTGGTAAGAAGGAAGAGCTTGGTCTTCGAAGCTGAACTTATTAACTCAGGGCAAGGGGTCTTTGGCAGCATCCCAAAAAAAGATAATCAAAGAAACAAAGGCACTTATCCCCAAAGTCCTCATCTGTGATTAAAATTGGCATCTTTAAGTGCCAATGGTAATTTATTTATCCCAGCATATTCAAGACTTTCTTAGCCCCACTAATGCAGTAACCTGCCTGCATGCAAGGTGACAAGTTAGTGACTGGAAAGCATCAGTGCACTTTTACAATAAGAACAGTGGCATCAAGCTTATTACTTTTCAAAAGACTTCATTAAAGGATTCAGAGCATTTCAATATAGCTTGTGCATCTATGCACTTACCATCCCTGGCAGTTAACAATCCTGCCAATGAGAAGAGACAAAAACTGGCTCCCCAGAAAGGCAAATGACTTACCGAGGGTCACATAATGGTAGTAGAACACCAACAGAAAGAAGGGATAGTCCTACATGTTGTCTGAATTTCCTGGTTGTATGCAGAGGTAGCCCAAATGGTGGTGGAAAAGAAGCTGCTATCAGGTCTTCCCACTTGTAAGAAGAAATTCTCTCTCTCCCTTTGCTCCCTATTTCTCCAATCCTCCTTTGTTCATCTTTTCCTTCCTCTCTCAACTCTTATCCCTTTTTCTCCTACCCCTTCTCTCTCCCTCCCTGCTTCCCTTGCTCCAAACTCTTCTGGCATCCTCCCTGAGTGACAGCAACGTAAGCAAAGGAGGGAGGCCTGTCTCTCTCTTGATTCATGCTGTTTATCCTGGCCTCATAAACCTTCTTAATAATTCACAGAGATGCCACTGTGATGGGCTGGCAGGCAATTGTCAACTTGGGGAAGCTCATGACTCAAGAAGATAATCACACTAACAAGAGGCTGAACACACAGATCCAACCTTAGCCACCAAAGGAAGGCTCCTAAATAGCAGTAGCAAAAGGCCCACTTTTTGCCTTACAGAAGATGATGGCGGAAAAGTCCCAAACAATCCCACTATCTAGGAAGCCCAGCTCCAGGGGTGTCTGGGATAGATGAAGACTTAAGAACAGGGCATGTAAAAAGCATTTAAGGCCAGGCTTGTGGCTCACACCTATAATCCCAGCACTTTGGGAGGCCAAGGCAGGCAGATCACTTGAGGCCAGGAGTTCCAGACCAGCCTAGCCAATATGGCAAAACCCTATCTCTACTAAAAATACAAAAATTAGCCGGGCATGGTGGTGCATGCCTGTAATCCCAACTACTTGGGAGGCTGAGGTGGGAGAATTGCTTGAACCCAGGAGGCAGAGGCCTCAGTAAGCCGAGATCGTACCACTGCACTCCAGCCTGGGTGACAGAGTGAGACTGTCTCAAAATAAAACAAAACAAAAAACATTTAAGATTTTCCTTGAAGTTACACATCTGATGTCCCTTCCCAGCCTGAAAAATCAACTCTTCAACCACCAGCCCTTGTTCTTAGGCTAAAGCCCAGAATTTGTTGCCTTATACCTGGTGGCCCTGCCCGACTTTGCCTTGCTGGCCCTCTGGCTCTCCTCTCTACACACTATTTTCTCTGCTGGGAATGCCCTCCCTGACTGCTTTGCCTGTCTCACTCTTAATAAAGTCTGAAGTCTTGGCTTATAGGCAAGCTCCTTGAGGAACCTTTCTGTGATTGCCACCTTCCCACCATCCCCACTCCGTCCTAGATCGGGTCTTAGCACCCGACCCATGATGGAGTGGGTCCTTAACCATGCCATCATCACTACACTCCTCCTGGGCCTGGAAAGGGGTTGTCCCTTAAAAGGCACAATCTTGCTGCCTCCAAATTTTGATGGGCCTTCATTTAGATATGTTTTAACTTTTCATTTTGATATAACTTCAAACTTGCCGAAAAGTTACAGGAATAGTATAGAGAATTCTCATATACCTCATCCATTCTCCTTTCCTTTCTCCCTCTCCTACCCTCCCCCTCTTTATCTGTAAGGCACACATATCTTTCTTCTGAGTCATTTCAGAGTAAGCCACGTGGATCATGCACTTTGCTTCTTATGCTTAGTGTTTATTTCCAAAGAACTAGGATATTGTCTTCCATGGTACAGCTATAAATTCTGACAATTTAACATTGATTTAATTCCAACATTCCAGTTTTGCCAATTGACTAAAAAATGTCCTTTAGACCGTGTTATTGCCCTGCACAAGATGCAGTTCAGGATTATATAGTGCTTTTAGTTGTCACATCTCTTCAGTCTCCTTCATCCTGGAACAGTTTCTCGCCTTTGTCTTCCACAGCATTCACATTTTTGAACAATATGGCCCAGTTTTTTTTTTTTTTTTTTTTTTAAATAGAATGTTCCACAATTTGGGTTTGTTTGAGATTCCTCATGATTAGTTTCAGGTTTTCCACCCCTGACTGGAATACAACGTAAGTGATGCTGTGTTCTTCTCAGGGTATAACCTCAGGAAGCACATGACGTCCATCTGTCTCTCACCAGTGATGTAATTTTCATCACCTAGTCATGATGTGACCTGAATACTCCAATTAGTACTTACTTTGTTTCCTCTTGCAGCTAATAAGCAATCAATAGAGAGATATTTTGAGACTATGCAAAAATCCTGCTCCTCCTCAAATTTTCCCTTCTAGATTTCAGCATCTGTTGATGATTCTTGCCTTAACTCCCATCTACCAGATGGCTGCAACTCCCTCTACCTTTATCAGTCAGCGTTCTCCTGTAGAGTCCAGCCCTCTCTTCTCCTCCATTGATAGATCTATTTTTAAATGTATCTATTTATTATTATAGGGGTGTGGATTCCTATTTTATTTAGTGGCTATAATCCACTGTTGTCCTCAATTGATTTTGATGCTCGCACTGTCCCCAGATTGGATTGTTCTTTGTAGCCCTACAGGGAAGAGACACTGCCAAGGGGAGGACTTAATAAAAGAAGAGCTGCTGTGGTCTGAATGTTTGTGTCCTCCCAAAATTCATCTATTCAGGTTTAATCCCAAACATAATGGTGTTTGGAGATGGGGCCTTTGGGAGATAATTAGGTCAGGAGGGTAAAGATCTCATGAACAGGATTAGTTCCCTTATAAAACAGGCCCAAGAGAGCTTGATCATGCCGTCCACCATGGAAGGACACAGTGAAAAGATGGCTGTCTGCGAATGAGGAAGTGGGCCCTCCCAAGACATAGAATCTGCCAGCACCTTGACCTTTGACTTCCAGCCTCCAGAATCATAAGAAATAAATGTCTTTTGTTTATATGCCACTCAGTCTAGTATTTTGTTATAGCAGCCTGAATCTACGACAAGAGCTTTTGAAGGATTCCAACTCTCCACCATTAGAACTAGTGCCTGAAAAAGTAGTAAGCTGCCCATCACAGGAAGTAATTAATAGAGGTTGTTGACTACTTTTTACAGAAGCAATTCATTCATCAGATTGGGGCTTTTAAAGGCCCCTTCCAAACCTGACAGTTGAGAGCTGTGGCAGATCCCTAGAAAGTAGAACGGTGTGATATAGAATTCAGAGGAATGTTTAGGGGAGTACTAAATGTTGAGAAGGGGAGGCCAGGCGTGGTGGCTCACGCCTGCAATCCCAGCGCTCTGGGAGGCTGAGACGGGTGGATCATGATGTCAGGAGATCGAGACCATCCTGGTTAACATGGTGAAACCCTGTCTCCACTAAAAATACAAAAAAATTAGCCAGGCATGGTGGCGGGTACCTGTAGTCCCAGCTACTCGGGAGGCTGAGGCAGGAGAATGGCGTGAACCCAAGAGGCAGAGCTTGCAGTGAGCCGAGATCACGCCACTGCACTCCAGCCTGGGCGGCTGAGCGAGATTCTGTCTCAAAAAAAAAAAAAAAAAGAAAGAATGAGTAGGAGCTTGCCAGCCAAAGAACAAGTGCAGCCACTAGAATTCTGTCCAGCATAAGATGAAAGTCACCAAGATTCCAATTCTGGGAAAATTTTTTGTAGATACATAGATATGGATCTCACTCTCTACATATACATATATGTATATTAAATATGTGTACACATACAAATATATCTTTTTACATTTTCTTTTAATGGGTATGTATGGGGGAAAGCACGGACTTGAAAGGCAAAGTGTTCAAATGGCCAGTAGTTCAACATCCAAGTTAGAAGATGCTTCTCCCCCTCTTTCACCAAGAGACCTGCGTTCATAAGACAATCTAAGAGTAAATGCTCTGAGCTGGCTGATAGACAACTGAGGAAAGAAGTCACACAGGAGATGCCTACGACTGCTGTCTTCTCAATCTTCCTTTTAGTCTGTTCTCTACATATAGAGCAGAGTTTCCAAGCCCCAGCACAACCAGTGTGGCGAGAGAGTCACATGCTGATATCCAGCCTTACTTGAGGAGTCTCTGGACAGAGCGATCCTGTGCTTGAGGGTTTAGGGAAGCAATTTAGTGGCCTCAGTTGTGGCCTGAACAAGTGGTGCTAACTTGGGTCTCTGGAACTGCAAACCAGTACCCTAGGCCTAAAGACGCCACTATCTAGGGAAGTTCATCTCATCTGAATAGATTCAGGGAAGCATCCTCCTGAACAACGATAAAACTGCTAACTTACATTTTCATAGCACTATGTTTAGAAAATGCACAACATACATACTCCCATTTGCCTCTTCTGAGCCCAAGGCAGACATGACTAATCTATCACAATATACTGACACAGATATTGAGACCTCATCATCCTTCTATACATACCTTTCTAGGTAGCTGCTGCCAAGTGCTATCCAGGAACATGTCATAGATTTCAAATATATGTCATATTTGATACCTAACTTGAATTTCATAAGATGGCTATAAGATCAGACAAAACAAGTATGGATATCTGCATTTTAAAGATGGAGAAACAGGCAGCAGAGCTGATCCCACAATCAGGAGGAATGGAGCTGGAATGAATGCAAGACCTCTCAGTATGATCCTTTTTATACTCCCTCTCCTGCTGCCTGTGCCAAAACCTGGGAAGGTTTCAGGTAGAAAAACTCTCCACAGCTGCAAAACTCAGTCAAAGTAGGCCCACATGCATAATGTGAGTCTGCTGATGTGGGCTTCAAAACCCAGTTCAGGTGCAAGTTGTATTTCCATGAAGACCCTACCAAAAAAAATGGCACCCCTTCCTCTGAGGTTCTTGGCCTTCCACACATTTGTTCTTTATTCTTAGCAAGGAGTACAGTGCTGGAACATGTTGGTGCTCAATAAGTGGTTACTAAAGTGAAAGAGGAAAAAGCCCTGCACTAAGTTCCGCATCTCTGGAGTAAAAAGTGATATAATATAGTAGAACAAAGAACAGAAGCGTTAGAAGCAGACTGGCTGGGTTAGAATTCCCACGGAAACTAGTCAGGTGACTTTGGACTACTAAGCCTCACTGGGCCTCAATTTCTGCATCTGTAAAATGGAGAGAACACCACTTACTTCAAAAGGGTTTTGAGAAAATGAGAGATTTTTAAATTTTTAAAGAGCTTTGGACAATAATGATGAAGAGTAGGAGGAAGAGGAAGAATTGGAAAAAGGAATGTGGCAGACAGACTTTACAGAGACCCCCAGTGATGCCTGCACTTTGGTATTCATGCCCTTGTATCATCCCATCCCCTTTGAGTGTAGGGACCTGTGACTTGCTTCTAACCAACAGACTATGGCAAAGCAGATAAGATGCCATTCCCACAATTATGTTAGGTTAGGTAAGATTCTACCTTGTTAGCAGACTTGTTTCAGAAGCTTTCTCCCATGCTGGCATTGAGGAAGCAAGCAGATATTGGGAGGCCTATGTGGCAAGGAGCTGAGAGCAGCTTCTAGGAGGTGATGGTGGTCTCCAGCTGACAGCCACCAAGAAGCCAGGACCCACAGTCTTATAATTGCAAGAAAATTAGTTCTGCCAACAAACTGAGTGAACATAGAAGCAAACCCTTCCCCAGCCAAGCCTCCAGATGAGAATGCAACCCTGGGCAACAGCTTGGCTGAAGCCTTGCAGAGGCACCCAGCTAAGTTATGCCCAGAGTTCTGATGCACAAAAGCTGTGAGATAATAAATATGTGTTGTTTTAAGTGGCTAAGTTTGCGATAATTTGTTATACAGCAACAGAAAACTAATACAGGGAGAGGAGGAAAAAGGAGAAGAGGAGAATCAATGGTGGGTAGTCTTAAGAAATAAATAATAAGACAGCAGGGAAAACAAACTCCTTTCTCTTTGAACGGCAGCAGTAGTCCAAATGTTTCAGCTAAGGCCAACCTTCTGTGTTTTCAGGTACATACTCCACCGATTTAAGCAGAGCTCCAACTATGAAAGACTACTTCTCACACTTGAAGGGTAAGCAACTTTTCAACAACAACACGCCAGAGAGGCTGGGCCCTGTCCTCTCCTTGCATCTTCTCCCTTAGTCAAGGCTACCAGCGACAATAATCAGGCTAATGCTGTCCAATTGACCTCCAAGCCTCCTTAATCTGCTGTGGGCTCTCAGGCAGGCCCACGGGGTGGTTGCCTTAAAGCCCAAGGCAGAGCTGTGGCCAGTATCCACCCACATGCCTTCACTGGAGGAACTCTCCCCTCCTAGCACATGGCCAAGGCATGAAAAATTCCACTGCTCAAGTTCCCGTCCCCTAGTATTAACCAGGACCATCTAACCCTCTCTGGAGTCTTAGCCTTTGATTTGTCAGACCCAAGTAGAGTTGGCAGGATTAAACCAGCCCCATGTTACTTTTTTTTGGGAAATATTTCCAGAGTAATCCACAAAAGTACCATACAAAGGGGGAAATGAGAGAACCAGAAAGATAATGGGAGGCAAGAAGTGGGGCAGAACACCTCTTCCCCAAACCACCAGCATTTCCCTCTGGCCTTGGCCAGCCTTTCTTCTAAGAGAATCAAGATGATATTTCTGTGTATGTGACCTTAACAGGAAAAGCATAAAATCAATGCTGGTACTCACACAACCTGAGTCAAAACACGAATCAAATAAATTGTCAAGACGTGAGACAGAAAGCTACCTTCTGAGAGATTTCAGTGTTCTGTTCCCCTCACCCCAGCCTTTTGGGATGGCTCCACTGTAACTCATTACCCACAAGGTAAAATCTGCTCTTACCCACAACCTGGATAATCTGGGCCAGGAGGACGCCATCTGTCACATCTTGCTGGAGATCCTTGATGAGACGCTTGTGGCCAGATTTGGCTAGATAATGATTGGCCCAGTCTGTGTAGATCTGCAAGAAAAGCAAACAGGCAACTTTAGGAAGCCAGTCGGATCCCCTCTCAGAATCTGAGACAGCTGCTCGGGCCGGCACAGTGGCCACTGTCCCATTGGCGAGCTTTCAGGGCCAGCCAGCACCATTAAAATTCAGTGCATTGTGCTGATCACGCATTCAGCTAACCATAGCTGGGCCTTAGCCTATTGAGAGAACTGCCGTCAAGATTCAGGGAAAAACTAAAGAAAGCTTCAAAACATGCAGAGCCCTGAATGAGACAGGGGACACAGAACTAAACAGTCTGCTCCAGACGGCTTTGAGGGGCTGCAGCTTTGAGAGGCTGCGACTCTAGATGCAAGCAAAGTCTCCCCCACCCCTTCCCATCTTTTTCTCTTTATTGAGAAAACGTATGGGGAGGTTACCACCCAACAGGCATCTCTTAATGGGCCATTTCAGGGTAAGGAGGGCTATTGAGCTATTCTGAGTTCTCAGGAGCCTGGGTCCCTTGAAAAGAAGCCAAGTATGAAAACAGAGCCCCTTCAATTACTCTTGTGTGAGTGAAGTTATTTATGGCCTCACAATAATCTCAAATTTAATCGGTTTAATTTAAAAGCCAGGCATCATTTTCACTGTTGGGATTCTGTGAACAAAACCCATCAAATTCCAACATATTTAAACACAACACTGTTGTGTGCAGCATTTTAGAAGGCAAAGACTGGCTGACCCATGGAATCAGGAGAGCAGACCCCCTTGGGGAACATATCTGACCTGCTCATCCTGGTCACAGAATGGTCAGGACAGAAGAATATTTTCTTTCCAAACAGGCCAATAAGCACAAGAAAACTCTTGCCTAAAAATTTTCTCCCCAACCATCAAAGCCAAAAACAAACAAAACAAAAAACCTTCTCACTGATTTTGAGTGCCAAGTTCCATGCATGGATTTGTGAGTTTGCAGAAGAGTGTATACGTGAACACATAGGCCTTAGGGTATCAGCACCTCTTTTTTTTCAGAGGGATAGGAACAAATGACTGGTCAAAAAGAGAATGTCCTGCCTCAACTGGCTAGTAGCAACAGGCTCAAGTACTAATCCCATGATGTCTCCACCAAAATGAAGGTGATCATTCTACCTCAACCAGTAGGCCTGCTCTGAGGATCCATGTGACTCCCAGAGCAGCATATGGTCTTATCTTCACCCTCCATCCTGTTCTTCCACATGCCTTTCCCAGTGTAATCTCAGACAATGGTCATGGCCCCCTCCCCCAACACTGCTGAAATGGGAACAGGAGCCGGGGTCAGGTTTGCCAAGCAGAGACCTTCTAAGGAGGCAGCATCTCTGGCTACTCCACCTGGGGACCATGAGGGCCTCATAACAGGAAGGGATGAGGTGGAGCTGCATCATCTGGTTCATGAAGAGATGAGAGCTGTAGCACCTGTCCACCACCCACCCACCTGGAAGCTCCGTCTTCCACTGCAGAGGCACACCCACGGTGTGCTTCTATTTCACAACACAGTCCAAGGATCCAATTCTTAAATCCATGCTAGTCTCCTTCCCTATGACTCTCCAGTTGTCAGAGACCAACAACCCAGTAAAGCAAGAGTATTTTCAATTTTATAAGCACAAAGAAAGCTCAGGAAGTAGACCATCACCTTTGTAATGACAACGGCCAACTTGAAATTTGAAATTTAAAAGATCATTAAAGAAAATTATTAAGAGGGAGAGAGGAAGGAAAATAAACATTAAAAGGAAAAGAGGCAGACATGGGTTCAGGTCCCGGTTCTGTAGGCTCCACAACAGTAGGGATTTGGGTCTGTTTTGTTTAATGACGTATTCCAAGTATCTACAAGAGCACATTTGAAAGAGTGCCTTATGCAGAGAAGGAGCTTAATAAATCCACCCAACATACAGTGCCTACTACATGCCAGGCACTGACATAAACATTTTACACACATTAACTCATTCAATCCTCATTCTATGTGGCAGAGGTTATTATTGTGTCCACTTTTCAGAGTAGAAAACTGAAGAGCAGAAAGGTGAATAACCTGTCCAAGGTCACAAGTGGCACAGCCAGAATTTGAGCCCAGGCTAACCTATTTTACAATCCTTTTGACATTCTACAATGCCTCCCTGAACACAAATATGAATGTTAATTGAGTTATTCATCCCTTCCGTGGCATCCTCCTACTGACGCTAGGTTCATGCCTCCATTATGTTCTCAGTGAAATAATTTATTTTATTTCTTCCCAAGACAGGGTCTCGTTCTGTCGCCCAGGCTGGAGTGCAGTGGCGTGATCTCGGTTCACGGCAACCCCCGCCTCCCGGGTCCAAGCAATTCTCATGCCTCAGCCTCCCAATTAACTGGGATTACAGGTGCACGCCACCACGCCTGGCTAATTTTTGTATTTTTAGTAGAGATGGGGTTTCACCATGTTGGCCAGGCTGGTCTCTAACTCCTGGCCTCGTGATCTGCTCATCTCAGCCTCCCAAAGTGCTAGGATTACAGGCGTGAGCCACCATGCCCGGTCCCAGATTTTAAAAGTAATCAAAACCCGGCCAGGCGCGGTGGCTCAAGCCTGTAATCCCAGCGCTTTGGGAGGCCGAGGCGGGTGGATCACGAGGTCAGGAGAGCGAGACCATCCTGGCTAACATGGTGAAACCCCGTCTCTACTAAAAAATACAAAAAACTAGCCGGGCGAGGTGGTGGGCGCCTGCAGTCCCAGCTACTGGGAGGCTGAGGCCGGAGAATGGCGTAAACCCGGGAGGCGGAGCTTGCAGTGAGCTGAGATCCGGCCACTGCACTCCAGCCTGGGTGACACAGCGAGACTCCGTCTCAAAAAAAAAAAAAAAAAAAAAAGTAATCAAAACCCAAACCTAGATATTTTCCTTGCTATCTGAATGCCTTTGGATAAGTGACTCTACTTTTCTGGGCTTCAGTTTACCCACCTGTAAAATGAGTACAATAAGGCCTGCTTCAGAAGGTTGATGTGAAGACTCAGAGTGGCACTGTATGGAAGTGCCTGGCCTGACCCACACGGGGGCTCAGGAAGTGAAGGCAATTAGGGAGAAGGGCAATAAAGAGGCGTGGTCTGGAACTGACAGAGTTGCTTTAATCTTAGTTTCTATGCTACCAATTCCCTCTGAGCCCTCTGGCCTAAGTGTTGTCATTTGCAAGATAATAATACCTACATCATTGGTATTATGAAGATGAAATGAGCTCATACATATAAAGGTCACAGAATCCGGCAGATGCTAAGTGTTCAGTAAATAAAAGTTAATAATAAAAAATTTTATTAACAGCTTCATGAAATGGGCCATAACAAAATCAGTCCCAGCCTCCACCCTGAATCTCCAGGATACAAATGACTCAAGGATTTCTTCCCCTTCTCACAGCCAAATTTCAAGAGTCTGGAACATCCCCTACCTGGAATCACAAAGTATGGCAGAGTGTAAAACAAGTCAGAAACTGGCCAGGCTGGTATATAAAGCAAGGCTTCCTTCCCTAACTAGGGGATGCACCACACTGCTCCCTCAAACCCTGGAGGGATTTCCTCAGCCACGTGGGAGGCACCATGAAGTTTAAAGTTTAAAGCCACGTGCATCTAAAACATCAGCTGAGTGAGAAGTGAACATCAACAAGGGCACAGCTGAATGGGATGAGATGCCGGTGCCTCAGCTCATCCCTTCTTAGATGATTAAGGTTCTTTAAAGTAGACGTACTGTCTACAACTAGGCTTCTTTGTGAGTTTGCATAACCCAGCAAGAAGCCGAGGTTAAACTTATTTTAACAAGTACACATACACACACTGCGATTGCAGAGCCATGGTGAGGCCACACAAGTATCAGGTACACTCACAAGAACCTCTACAGGATAAAGTGGTTGGAAACAGCTCTGCCAAAGTAATCTTCTCATTCTGAAACAAGAGCTCTTCTCTCAACTTTAATTTACCTACACACCAATGCCAAATGAACTTTCATAGGGCACAGCTCTAATCTAATTGTCTGTTCAAAAAATCATCAGTGGCTCCCCACTTCCCACTGAATTAAAGGGACACTCTTCACTCTTGAGTCAAGGCAGACTTATCATCCGTCTGTTCTACCCCAGAATGTCCTCCAACCTTTGAAGGGGAGGCAGCGTGTGTGGAAGAACGGAGCCTTTGGTATCTGACCTAGTCAAGCGGTCCCTTGGCCCCGGGCAATGTTAGTTTCTACTAATCTTTCTGTTCTTCGGTTTTATCCTCCATAAAACAGGGATTACATCAAGCATATTAAAAGGCAGGGGCTGGCAAACTGCAACCCGGGCCAATTCTAGCTGACCACCTATGTATGTAAACAAATAGGTGGTCAACAATCTCGGGACAGGTATCAGGACACAGACTCATCCATTTGTGGTCTCTGGTTGCTTTCGTGCTACAAAGCAAAGCCAAGCAGTTGTGACCAAGAGACCTGTGGCCCACAAAACCTCAACTACTGACTTCCAGCTCTTCACAGAAAGTCTGCCAGTCTATGAGGACCAAATGAGATGATACATCTACGCATACCACATGCTCAGTAGTAATAATACAATAACCCTCAGGAAAACCAGACACACCCCACACTTCCCTCTCTCTGAACTCAGCCTATCCCCTCTGCCCAGGTACCTCTGCTGCTTGAGGCCGTCTAGTCCAGCTCAATTCTAATGCCCATCCCCCATCAAGTCCCTCTTAATTTCCTCACCCAAACCTCAGCTGCCTGTGATATAGCAGATGTAGATAACATGTATGCTGGCACCACCTTTCCACTCCCACTTGCCCATCTCTGCACTCCTGGTAGTGCCTCACAGGGGCTGGCCCACGGCAGGAGGCTAGTAAGTGGTTGCCAGGTAGAGCTGAACATGGAGAAAAAGGGCAAACCTTGGGAAACTGATTACACTTGAGACTTACATAATGTGGGCTCTCAGCAAATCCTCCAACCAGAATCTCTTTATTGATTAAAAAGAGCAGGGAGCAGGGAAAATAAATCACTCCATAGCTCAGGCTCATT